ACTATTAAAATTTGAAATTAAACTTTTTAGTATTAAACTTTTTTATGTGTGTTAAAAGTGTTTAGGGTGTTTGTAGTAATCGAGTTTTTCCTGTTAAATTATAAGAAATTAATTCCTGTGAATATATGTCTATAAACATAATTTTTAAATAATGTTTTTTCTTCTTTTCTCTTTCTTTTTATATTTTTTTATTTTCACCGTTCGTAAATTTTTAAATCCATTCTTTCTATTTTGTTGTTAAAATTTTACAATATTGTTCTTTTATGTAAATTTCCTTGAACAGAGTTTCTTTTTTTTCATTCCTTCAAAGGCGTCTGTTCAAAAATTTATGCAATAAATCATTCTCTTGTTTTTGTTTCATTTTTGTTATTTTTATAGTTAATCCATCATTGATTAAAACTTCCGAATTGATAAGTCATAAAAGTTCGTTTTTGACCGTCCTTTATTTTTTGACTTTGTAAAAGGTACAAACAGGTTGGTTATAAAGAGTAACAATATAGATTAGTTTTGGGTTTACATATACACACAGATATACATAACTACACAAAATTAATAAAAAAATTACATGTACACAACACATACATATATCATACATACATACACATAAACATACACATGCACCATTAGACACATCGTAAATACATGAATAAATGCGTGCATACACACATATACATATAAGGGAAAGCGGGGCAACATGGCGAACGTTTTGAAATCTCTTAGTTATAGCAAAACTATCAGTCGTGAAGCAATAATACTTTCTCAGTATGTTTATGTTATTAAAATGATTCATTGCGTGCATGAAATTTCAGTTTGCAAATATAAAGGTTTAAAATAAATATTAAAATAAAAAGTTCATAAATTTGTCATTTGGTCACTTGACCAGGGCAAGATGACTTATTATGCAATTTTTGCCTCCAATTTTATAAAATTTGAAAAACTACCAATAACTGTAACTAAAGTAACAGAAAATAAACGCAAGTCACGACAAACTACTTCTAAAGAAGTTAAACTTGAAGGACACCATCCATTATGGGAAACCAAAACTGAGGAATTTTTTTTTAAGCGCAAAAAGTAAACTTATACGTATAAAAATGCGTAAATAATATTTAAAAAAACCAATTGGTGTTTTAAAATACAAAATGCAAATGCAGTTTCGTTTTCACCCACCTGTAAGATTTTTTGTTGAGCTGTAATATGAAAACCCATCTTGCCCCATTCGCCATGTTGCCCCGCTTTCCCCTATATAGACGCATTCTTTTGTTCTTTCCGGGTTTTTTTTCTGTATTATTATTCGCTTTACAATTTAAGTATAAATTTACAAGAGCTAGAAATATTTAGTATGATCTGTTGTTATAAGAATTAGAAATATTTAGTATGAGCTAGCCCCTGCGCAAGATTCCTGGATGGGGTCCAAACCCCCGAGCCCCAACCCATTAAACACCTATGTTAATTGTTGATTTTAATTATAAAAAAAGTTATAAATTTTTCATAAATTATTGAAAAAAGCCCTTAAAAAGTTTAAAACCTTTTTTAAAAAAGTTAATTAAAAAAAGACAAATAATAGCGAGTTCTCTTTGAATAAAAAACTTTATCAAAAACTCACTCACAAAAATTTAACATTTTATTTAAAAAAAAAATAAAAAATAAAACAAACTATTTATGAATAAAGTTTAGGAGTAATTAGGAACTTTTAATATTTTCTAAAAATTTTTATACACTAAAAATTAGCGCACATACATAATGAATACAAAACCAAAACCACTTGTCAACGTTGGAGATTGTCAATAATAGTACAATAATGAATCTGTTCAAATATTGTGACATTTTCACCTTTTTTAATTTTTATTTATATAGTAAGATAATAAAATTTTATCTTGATTTATTTTTGAATTTCTATAACACGTCAATAAGCAAACAGCGAAAGAAAAAGGTTGACCATCTTAAGATGGGAGGAATAAAAATAAACATTTAAAAAATATTTAATTAAAGTTCAAATAATGTCATTTCAGTAAACCTAAATACGACTCTGCACAAGATAAATACAACTTTGTACAACCTAAGTACGACATTGCGCAACTTAAGTACGACTCTGCAGAAAGAGCTGTAAAAAGGTACTTAGGTACAAATCTGCACAATCTAAGTACGACTTTGCGCAACTTAAGTACGACTCTGCAAAAAGAGCTGTAAAAAGGTAGAAATAAAAACAAGGGAAAGTAAAAAAGTATGGCCCCTGCATTTCTAAATTAGAGAAACATTGTGTCTTTAGATAATTTTTAAAAGTGACAAATAGTTTTTATTAAAAGGAAACATTTTTTGTGTTAAAAAAAATGGCTAAAAGTTTTAGGCGTTCATGTTCTGGGCGCCACATAAGCATTGACAAAAGTAACCACAATATCTGATTTAAATGTTTCTACAATTGTTATATAACTAAATTTTATTTTAAAAATGATGAGACGTCTACAGTAGAATATTGGTACCTCATTGACTAGGAATGTACACAAATGTAAACAAATATTAAGTTAGTTTATTGAAGCGGTTCCTTTTTTACTTTGCGTTTTAACAGCCTAATATTGTCATTACCATTAAGGCTGTCAACACTGACTGATACACACTTTTGCATTCCTTTGATGTTGGTTTATAAAAAACATGTTTACATATGTTACTTTTTAAATTTGTAATGAGAAAAATATTTTTATCACATGATTTACGCAAGCTTATATTTTTTAATCTAATTTTGTTGTTACATGGTGCCTTTTAAAGCAGTTTCTCACAATTCTATTGCACATCTTGCAGTGTTTTTTACATAAGATCTTATATTTCAGTAGCAGATACAAACGAGTAGATAGATATACCAGACTACTGTTAATATATTTATTGAGATGTTTCTCTTTTTTCAATGTTTTAGAGATTCTTTTATTTCTTTAATTCAAAACAAATTTTAACTGAAAATTTAGTAATACCTTTATGTATTACTATTTTATTAAATTATAGTTAATGAAATAATTATTAACAAACTACTAAAAAGTTTATTTTGTCTACGACAATTAATTGATAAGTTCCTACTATGGAAATTTGAAAACTATAAAAAGAATAAGAATTAATGTTTTTGTTTTGGTATGTTTATAGATAACTCAATCTCCTACTGTCTGATATGAAAATTATCATTTTTTAAAATAATAATTTTCAGATTAGACCGCTCTTTAAAATTATCATTTTAAAATTTTCATTTAAAGGAAATAAAAATTTACGAAATAGATGAATGTTGACGTTGTAGTTCTAATAATATTTTTTTCTTATTATTTCTATTTGAATTTTTTTAATTCTTTATTTTTAAGATTTTGTTTTCAGTTTAAAAAAAAACAAAAACATTTTTAAAATAAAAATTGACGCAAATATAAGAAACTTATAAAAAAACGGAGTTTGATTTCTTGGAGTTTTTGGGGTTTTCGGAGTAAAACTCCATTGAAGTTTTATTGACATTCTAATTTTTAACGTAAACCATTATAAACTCCCTGAGAGAAAATAAAAATTTAGTGTAGTTTTTCTGTTGAATTCTTATGTTTTGATTTTCACAAGCTCTTATATTTTATATACAAACTTATATTTTACATACAAACTTATATTTTACATACAAACTTATATTTTATATACAAACTTATATTTTACATACAAACTTATATTTTATATACAAACTTATATTTTATATACAAACTTATATTTTATATACAAACTTATATTTTATATACAAACTTATATTTTATATACAATCTTATATTTTATATACGAAATCGTATTTTATATACGTAAATCGTCATTGAAAATTAAATATATTTATAAAAATTTTATTAAACTTTTTGTTCTAAGAAACGATTTTAAACTTTATATTTAACAATTAAGGGCTTGGAGAAGTTTGTCTTTTTTAAAATAAATACCATACTTCTCACTATTAGAGATAAATTCTTTTTACTGTTTTTTTAAACATAACTCTATTCCAAGATAAACATTATTACTCGGTAAAAAATCATAAAATAAAACTGCGTATAAATATTTTTTTTAATACACACATATTTAGATACTTCGTTAATCTGTTGTGAATATTCATCAGGTATAGAATATACAACACACACACACACACACACACACACACACACACACACACACACACACACACACACACATGCGTTTGCTTGCGTGCGCGTGTTTATATGTATATATACAAAATATGCATGAGTTTTTGTTTTCAAAATATCTAAAATAAAAAAAAATCTTTTTTGATATTGTGATAATGCGAATAAGTCGATTTATTAACTATAAGTAAATTTGGCTTTCTGTAAAATATAAAAATTATTTTAATTTGCACTAATTTAGGTTTGGAAAAAAAGCAATTTATTTTCGCTAAATATTAGAGTTATCAATTCTTTTCGTCTCTTATCGTGGTTCTTAGTATGTCTAAAATTTACAGATATGTTTTAGTATGGAAATTAAAAAAATTCAACACAAGGAGACTACCCAAATATGAACACATCCTTATTTAGATTGTTCAAAACAAGTCCAAATAAGTCGATTCGTTTAAGCATCACTTCAACAGTAAAAACTTATTGTCATAAAAACGTTATACAGATATTTAAATGTTGTTATATTCACAACCAATTGTCTTTATTAAAAACATTGTCTCTGAAAGATTTTTAAATAACTGCTTTAAAAAAGTTACAAAATTTAAATTGCATATATTAATAGAAAAACCTAATGCAAAAGTTTCCGGAAATCGACATGACGTATTAAAAATAATTGATAAAAGTCTCCACTTTCTTACGTTTTTTTTATAAGCTTGCTTACAGTTATTTAAAAAATATTTGTTCCTGACTGATCAAGAACATTTTAAGTATATTTGAAGAACAAGAACATTTCAAGTATATTTGATTTCAATTGATTTATTGGAATCTATATATGTTGTCCAGAAAAAATGCTTTGTTTATCCAAACTGTGTAACTAGGCCCTCCTTTCTCATCATTTTTATTAAAAAAAAAGAATTCACAGTCTTGACGAATGACTCGCAGTCTGGATAAAACAAAGTAAAATTACAAATGTTTTTGTAAAAATACTTCAAATCTGATCTTAGTCGTGATTTGTAAGTTTAATGTTGCTACGCAAACACATTATTAATGTTGCTACGCAAACACATTATTAATGGTTATGAAAAGCTTGAAAGAATTATTTTTAATTACAGTTGCTTATTTATTTGTTTCCGATTCTTTTACCCTTTTTTTTTTTATTTTAATAGTTTTGCCAACGGAAGGAAAAACAACTTAGGAATATTAAATAAATATGGTTTTTCTGGTTCTTTTGAGTTTACTATTTGTGTCTGCTTTAGGCTCTTTACTTAATCGACACGAAAATGGTAAGACATATTTTTTATTATTATAATTTTCCATAACATATTTAAAAACGTTTTTTGTTTTGCCTGACATCTGAGATACATATAATCCACTGCTTCCGACCGAACTAAAAATCAAATTAGGCAGTATTGCATCATGTTGGCGGTAGAGGTATCATCTTTACCTCTGCCTTTTACAGATAAAAATAGAATAAACAATTCTGTAACTTAGTAATTACTTGTGAGATAACTGAAGACCTGTTTTATCACCAATTGGCTTTCACCAAAAAAAAAGAAAAGACAATTTTTTTGTTATAATGTCATACGCTACTTATGTCTATCTATTTCTTCTTTTTCATGTTTATCTGTTTCTTTTTCATTTTTATATAGATTTCAGTAAGCAAAAGTCTTTAGCAAAATTTCAATATCAAAAGTTTTTATTGATGTTTAGCTCACATATTTTTTTTATTCTAATCATTTTTCATTTTATTCATTTATATATATATATATATATATATATATATATATATATATATATATATATATATATATATATATATATATATATATATATATATATATATATATATATATATATATATATATATATTATTAACAAATACACGGCTGTTGTAATTTACTTACAAATACCCGACTACGGTTAAATATACTCATAAAAATAAACCATTTAAAAGCAACAAGTTGATAAAATATTTTTTAATCATTCTTAAATAAATTATTATTCTTTGAAAAATTTTAAATTTAATAGAACAATCTTTTAGCGTACAAAAATTATAAAACATGTAAAGTTTGAACCCCTCTTAGTTTAAGGGGGTTATAAATTTTTTGTTGTCATAACTTTTGAACTTTTAAAAGAGATTATTTAAAGTTTATAGATAATAATTTAGTTAAGAATAGTACATAAAAAGTTTTCTAAACTTGCTGCTCTTACTTTGGGGTTCCGATCATCAAATTTTGCAAAGCATCTGTATTTGACATAAATATAAACATATAAAAGTTTTAAAGTTTACTCCAAGTCTGGGAGGTAGCTTACTCCAAGTCTGGAAGGTATATCTTAAACACCAATAAATGCTAAACCCTCCCCAATATAATAATAATATTTAATAAGAGAATAAGGTTATAAATATAATTTAATAAGAGAATAGGTTTAAAATGTTTTAGAACTCATTTATAAACTAAATTATAACACTGGGTGTTTTACCCAAGGCTTTTTATATAACTTTTTTTTTTTTACAGAACATCGCGGAGTAACATTTTATGAAGAGTAACAATTTTTTCCTCACCGATGCACAATGAGTAGTTTTAACAATTTATTAGAAAAAATTATTTAAATAATTTAAACTAAAATGGTAAAATGCAATTTCCGCACTTAAGTATAATTATTTTAGTTGAAAAAGGCTACAAATTTATCCGCGACTTGTTTAAACATTTCTAATTTCGGTTTTTACAAACGATTATAAAAAGTAAATGCATAAGTTCATAGCTCTGCGTTGTTAATTATAAATGCCGGGTGTTAATTACATGTTTTAATTTTTATTTTTATTTTCAATTATATTTATCTTACTTTAGCTTTTTCAATTAAAATTAGCATTGCTTTTTGCTTCAACATTTTAGGTCAGTAAATTTTATTAACATTATTAACACTTAAAAAATTTATTTTAATTTAGTTAATTATACAGACTTGGTTACATTTTAACTTCATATGAGGTTGAATTTAAAAAGATACCATTTTTTTAATCATTCTTTTTTGTATGATAAAATATATGAGTTGACCATATTCATTCAATCTTATTATTATTATTATGTCAAACAACTGAAAATAGGCATACTAGTTTGGCTAGAGGCTATTGCTACTAAGAACCATAATTTCTATGGTTTCTAAAAACCATTCATCCTGACACGACAAATTGAAATATTTTTAATTGTATACTAAACACTTATTGCAGTAAAACAAATAAAAGTTTTAAACTAATCATATAAAGAGCAACCCTGGGTCAGTCATTCGAGTGTTTGTTACAGAACAACGAGATTCAAGGTTTAATGCCTACTCTGCCAATATACGCAACATCGGTAAGGAAGACGAAGTGAGCTTGTTTGTTAAATGCTTGTTGTAATGAAATTCCTAAATCTTCTAAAAACACCCTAATAACCAGAAAGAAATTTTTTTTTTGAGATCAAAAGTTAAAAAACGTTTTTTAAATAATACGTTTTTGCAAATCTTTTCAGCGGCTTTTATAAGGAACTAAGTACTGCTTCTCCAAAAATAGGAGAGAAAAAAAAAATGGTTTGCATATCACTGAAAAGCCACCTACAATGCTGATTATTTAGCTCCTAACTTTAATGACTTATACCCATTTTACAACGTGTTATTGAAAAATTTTATGCTGAAAAACAAAAGACTTGGGGGTCGATGTTATAAAACTTTTTACCGGTATAAATGCTACCGGTAAAAATTTTACACTGAGAATTTTTATAGCCGTAAATTTAGAGTCATAAAATGTTTTTCAAGTCAATGTTATAAAACTTTTCCGCATCAAATTTTGTAAATCTATGCCTTGAATTTATTTTCAGAAATCTATTGGCCGGATCAATAACATTCTCAACACTTAAAAGATTGTCAAAAACAAAGTGTTTTTGAGTTGAAGATTCAAAAATATTCCGAACCACAGGTTTCTACAAATAAATATTCATATCTTTGGATCTTCAACAAAAATTTACGTAGGTCCTTCCTCCGGAACATTTTTCGACGGTAAACATTTCAGCTGTAGAAAGTTTATCACTGGTAATTTTTGAAAACGTCTTATAACATTGACAAAAATCATTTACGCCGGTAATTTTTTCTGTTGGTAGCATTTTACGTCGTTAAAATGTTTTATAACATTGATCCCTGGCTGTAAATTGAATTACAAAATTAAAAAATCTAGGATGTAAATTATTTAAAAAAAATTAAAAATTCTAGATTTTCTGGCTTTGGCTGGGAATGTTAATGGTAAATAAATAAGTAATAATAATAAAACAATAAATAATGAATAAAGTGCTAATAAAGCTTGTTTTATTTTACCTTTTAATTTAAATGCTTTTTTATGTGAGATACAACCAATCATTTAAGGATTGTTTTTATGGAAAAAAATTATCCTATATAACCGAGATCAAGATATAGTCTCTCCTTTGAAACTGATACAAATTTAAAATTGCGTTCATATGTAAAATTATTTGCCACCCCACTTCCCCCCTAGGCGAGAACTCGCCAATGAACTACCGGGATCCCGATTAGGCTGGGTGAAAATTCTTTATATAAATATCATCCCGGATAGACTGGACAGTTTTGTTACAGAATTTAGTTGGAATTCCTTGATCGTTAAATTTAAGTCGTTTAGCCATGTATTTTTATAAAACTTATGCATTTGTCCTTGAATTTTTTTATAGCGAAAGTTTTTTTTCGTTAGTTAATTATAAATTAATTATGATAATTATTTTGTAAACACGCAATATTATCTTTTTTAAAAGTATTAAAATATACATAATAATAAAAGTTAATAGTTATTAAATAATTTTTTGTAAATCGAAATATCCCAGTACTTCGGTTAGACGAGATGTTTTTTCTCCATATGATCAGCCCTTAGTGATAAAATAAAAAGATAACATTCCATTACTGAAAATTTAATACTACACCTTTTCTGGATCAATTTAAAAGGAATACGAATCAATTTAAAAGGAATACGAATCAATTTAAAAGAAATACGAATCAATTTAAAAGAAATACGAATCAATTTAAAAGAAATACTAATTTAAATTGATTCGTATTCCTTTTAAATTGATTCGTATTTCTTTTAAATTGATTCGTATTTCTTTTAAATTGATTCGTATTTCTTTTAAATTGATTCGTATTTCTTTTAAATTGATTCGTATTTCTTTTAAATTGATCCAGAAAAGGTGTATTCTTTGCGTTCGATTAAAAAACATGTTTATTTTTATTTTTAGTGTTTCCCAATTGGAAAACTCTTTCAGGTATTTTTTTATAACGTTTGTTATTGACATGCATCTTATTAATTTAAAAAATTTGTTAGCTATAAATTTCAAATATATATTATTTATTCAAAATTTTATAATAAATATGAAACCATTATTAATAAATATGAAGGATATAATTTTAATTCAAAATTTTGCTATAAAAATGTTAAAGAAACGTTTTAAGCGCGTTTATAGTAAAACTCTTTTTATCTCCTGTTGTCTTTTGTTTCAATTGAGTTTAATAATTTACATTTTTTATCTTGTACATCTTTACAAATTTTAATATTTTTTGTTCTGTGTGTTTTAGTGAGTTAAGCAAGAAAGAAAACTTTGTATAATAAAAAAACTCAAATAAATAAACAAAAAAAAAAAAAAAAAAAGTAAAACTTTTTATACCTAAATAAGCGTTATGCATTTGTTTGTCCCTATCCTATAAAACTATTATAATATTTTTTCAACGTGCAAATGCAATTAAGCCTTAATTTACGTAAATACACAAAAAATTGTGTAATTACATTGTAAACTTGACAACATCTTTTAAAACGATGATTTTTTTATGAAGTTAGTGTTTTTATGTTAAATCTAAAAGAAATGATTCGCAGATTTAAAAATTGATTCGTGGTCAAATTTGCTTCAACTATGCAAATTAAATCAACTTTAAACAGTAAAGACATAATAAAATATCGTTTTGGTAAATATACTTTTAAAAATTTTAAAAAATAAACTTAAATTTTTTTTGCATAAACCTGTAAATTTTGCGAACAACTTTTTATATTTATTAATTATGCAACAATAAATATTAAAAAATTAAAAAGTCTTAGGGTATGGAAACGGATCTTGGGAATACAGAAATAGAATTAATATGGGTTGATGTTCCGATTTTTAGATTAATCGTGTATGGTTGAAATATTAATCAAAACTTGTAACAACCTTATTATTATTACTAAATTCTTATTATTGTTAGATTTACTTATAAGTTACATTGTTGAAATCATGACAGTAGGCACAGAGCACTAGCTGGCTCATAATATTTTTTTCACTGAGTTTAACATTTGTTACTGTGAAATGGTCACTTAGTGTCAAAGAAATAAAAAAATTGTAAAAAAGAATATTCATTAAGTTGGTAAAGCAGACTGTAATCTATGAGTTATCATGTACTTGTATTATACACATGAATTTTTAATATATGCATATATTTAAATGTTTTCCTTAAATCAGATATGACAGATTAGAACTTAAAAGAATTGTTTATAATTGGCATTAAGCAGTTTTAAAATTATATCGCATACATTTGACGTATAAACATAACGGATGATTTGAGGACGATTAACAAATAAAGTTCGACAGATGGGACCAATAAAAAATAAAATTCAGAGTATAAAATAATTTTATTTATTGCTTCAAAAAAGCTTAATACAATCACGAGAACAGCTCCATAGAAATAATGATAATAGTGTTCTTTTTGCGCTTCAGTTGAGCATCCGTGCTTATCTTGAGTATTCATGGGACAGTGGTTAGAGTTTGGTTCAGAACCCCAAGTTTTGATGCTGGCAATATCCCCACAAATGACTTTGGTACGGAAGGTGGCATGAATTTCCATTTTACTGCTCTTTCGCGGTGCTTTGTAATAAGACTGTAAGAAGCATCTAAATAACTACAAAACAAAAAAAAAGAAAAAAAAAGTCAATCTACAATAAACAATACACCATTTATAACTCAATAACAAAAAATAGTAAACATAGTTTTTTAAATAAATTTCTATCAAACTACTACCTTACCTGAAACACATTTTTTCAACGCGATGCACTCTTCCTAAGCAATAGCAGAATGCTATTTCCTACTAAAAAAATATTAATTTTTATTATTATTATTAAGTATAATCTAAAGTATAAAAAAAAAACTCAATCAACCAAACTTTACAAAATAAGATAACTATAATATTTTATCTTTAAATATTTATTCACTTATTTTAGTAGGCTGAGACTAATTTTATTAACCTGCTCTGCTCTTTTTTTTAGTGAAATATGCATTTTATCGAAGTTTACCAATTTCAGAGAATACGGCCATTATAAGTTCATGGAAATTGCTGGCTAATAGCTGTGAAGGTAATTATCAGATTTTTAGTATTTCAAGCAGCCTAGTATTAAAGAAATGCAAGCTGTATTTTTTTAACTTCCATATGTCGGGAACTCTCATTGCCAATCGGTAACTAAGAAAATTAGAAAATAAAACTAAAATTTAATGAAATGATATATAAAAATATAAAAATAACAATAATAATAATAAAAAAATATAAATAAAAAATATAAAAAATTATAGTGACAAAATAATCGATTAAAGTGCATCTATCAAAATTTAACAGAGAAAATATCTCAAGCAGCAGTGAAAGTAATTGCTTAGCTTTACGTAAAGAAAATTTTTACCAATTTTGCTCAAATTTTTATTAACGTAAAGCTGAGCAATTACTCAGTGTTTTTGAAGAAAATTGCTCAACTTTACGTTTTTTATTCACGTAAAATTGAGTAATTACAACAAAAACGCTAATTAAAAGCAATCGCTTATTTTTATTCACCCGGCCTACAGCACTAAAACATTTTAAACACAACATTTGTGCCAAAGTAACAAATAAAATCATTCAAGAAATAATAAAGTCTAAAAGTGCTAAAAAATCAGTTTGAAATTTTATCAAAAAAAGTGATTTAATTATTATTATATTATACAATTACTAATTCTGTATTGTATTTTATATTATATTATAGTCATAAACAAAAATTTATCCAAGTTTTAGTATGTTGCAATATTTACAAAACAATTTTTCTAGGTCTAAATAAAGTTAAAGTTAGGATTATTATACTATGTCATGCTATGGTAATATTATAACCAGGGATGCGGAGTCCCAAAAAGTACTCCGGATCTCAAAAGTCAAAGTCAAAAGACAAAAAGAGATTATTTACCATTAGCTACCAACATTTTCAGATTTCCTAGACACCAGGAAAAAATATAGACCAGGAAAAATCGTAGATATAAAGCCGGAGTCCTTTTGGGAGTCCACATCCCTGATTATCACGACTGTCATATTGTCATATTATGTGAAGAAGGCGCCATTTCTTCACCCATCAAATAGTCAGGTGCTGCCCTAAGCAAATTATTCATACACCTAATTAAAACAATATAACCAAAAGGTTATTATTAAGAGAAATATAACCGCCGGAACTTTTATTATTTAAAAACTATTAAACAAATATTTTTGTTTCTTAACTTTAAAGTCTTTTCACATTCTTTTGTGAAGCAAAAAGATGTTTACGGGAAAATTATTGGAATTAATGGTCTCCTTTTTTCTTAGAGAAAAAACTTTTAAACAAAACAGAGGCAAAGAGTGATGATAAATTTTAACAATACAGTGAAAGTGGTATTCAACAAGGTTCAGTTCATTTGACAGTGTTATTCATTATATACGTTAATAAAATTTTAAATTAAATTAATTCAAATACATTTTGGCAACAATTAAGAAAGGTCTCTTATTAATATGCACTCGCACAACCAACTTCAAAACTTAATATTTTGGTTGACTAAGAAAATAAATGGAGAATTACATCATTTAATACAAACAAATGTACCATTCTACATCTTGGTTACAAAAACAAAGAATGCGTTTATGCACAATGCGTTTAAGAAATAAAGATCAATATAAAATTTAATAACTCCAAAACTGACCTTGAGTGCATATAGATAGTAACAAACGTAGTAGTAGACTAGTGGTAAAACATTTGGCAACCAAGAAGTTCGAAGTTTTAATCCACCCTACGCTTTTGCAAGTACGGCACTTGACCTGTTTAATCATTTAGAAATTTTAAAAACGAACTTGACACTTTTCTACAGAAAGAAATGATCATTCATGATTAGCGTTAATGAAAGAAAATTATATAAATAGTATATATATGTTCAACAGATTAACAGGCATTCAAGCTTATACGGTTTTTTTTTTGTAAACTTTATAAAAATAATAAACATAATTTCAAAAACGTTATTTTTCTCAAGAATTAAGATATCACTCATTTAAGATAAACTAAAACATTTGAAATGAACTCACTTAATAACATATTTTTTACATTCTTTTATATTTTTAGTTTTATGTATATATATTATTTAAAAACTTTACTCTTCCCACTTCTTAAATACAAGCAAGCCGAAAAGGGGTAGCCTAGGGTAGCAACTGCTACTCCTGCCATTTTAGCTGGGGTGACAAAGATAGCATGAATGTGCTCTTTCTAGGAAATAGGTATGGTAAATTTTTGTGCTTTAAAAGCATTTTATTATCTAACATTTCATTATCAATATTTTATTATCAATATTTACCAACTGGAATTGGTAATAGGTGGTAATAGATTAATTTTTTTTCAAACTTTTTAAAGAGAAAATAGTTTAAAATTGATTTAAACGAAATTTGAAAAATATTTTATTGAAGAGAAAAAAAAACCCAGAATCAATAAGCAGCAGTGCAACTCAGAAACAACTTAGATGAATTAACCAACGTTAAAGAACTTTTTTTTTAATCACAATTAACTTTAGACTAATGTTTCCAAAAATCAATTCGAAATTAAATGAAATATTTTATATTAAATTTTATTCTTCTTGCTATCGACATACGTTACAACTTTTTGTTATTATGTTTTAACTCTTTATATATATATATTCGAAATGTTTTTTAGTGTATATATTCGAAATGTTTTTTAGATGTTTTGCAAAAAAGCAACAGTTTTTTGAGTTTGTATTTTTATTTTCGAGAAAAAGAGAAAAAAAAGGAACACTTGGTAAAGACAATATACAGTTATAAAACAAAAATAAAAAATAGTTTTTTCAGTTAATACTTTTATTTTTGATGATTAATTTCAAGTGGTGATTATTTTTGACGACTATTTGCGTACAAATTTATATCTCTTGGTATTTTATTTCTTAATTGTAATCTTAACTTAAATGTAACGGTTTTAACCTCTGAACAGTCATGCGAAAGACTTCAAAAGAAAAAAACTAAGGAATTATCAAAAGCGGCAAAAATTATCATCACCTTATCAGATCAAAATTACTAATTTTTTGAAAAAAATTACAACTGAACCAGTGGAGCCAAAGAACCCTCATGTTGAACTACAGAATCAGAATAAAGTTGACATAGGCAGTCAAAAAATAGAAAGTACAGAAAAACAGGAGTCCGATGCAAAAGATGATGAAATTCTAACGGAAAATCTTGTTACAAAAGCGATGATTTCAGTGAAATTAATAAAAGAAACAGTGACAAAAATGGAGCTTGTTTATATATATATATATATATATATATATATATATATATATATATATATATATATATATATATATATATATATATATATATATATATATATATATATATATATATATATATATATATATATATATTATATATATATATATATATATATATATATATATATATCTCTTTTATTATAACACCTCATAAATAAAATTTTGGACAAAATTTAAAAATTAATATTTTAAAAACTAATAAGTTTTATTATTTAATATTTCAACTGTTAATATGTTAGTATATGTAGTTTATAAATATATTAAAATAATTATTTCAAATACTATATTTAGCAATATAATAAAATTTTTTTGAAAGATGGAAATTTATTTGAGTAAGGAAAATTTCTTTATTCATCTTTGAATAGCAATATCTAATTCTTGCTTCAAGCTCTTCCGAGTTCTCAGCTCTCCAATTATTCTCGCACACTAGCCGTTTTAAATCACCCCAAAAGTTTTCAATTGGTCTTGCTTCTGGAACGTTAGCTGGGTTTACATCTTTACAGAAGATTGTCTTTTTTTTAATATTCTGATACTAGAGGAGGTAAAGTTTTTTCTTGTATTTCTTTATAAGTGTACTGGTTGATTGCCTGCTTACTGTGATGAATATAAAGAGGGTTTATTTCATGGGGGCTGATGCAACAAGAAACTAAGAGCATGTTCTCGTACTTTTTACGCAAATTGTATCTTACTTCGTCAGAACATTGAGAAGGATCAGCAGCATAAAACCTATAATTACCAGCCAATGTGCTATTAAGGTAAAATAGCTTTCATCATCCATAACAAAATCCAAGTTTTTATAATTTTCGTACAATTTACGACATTTCGGACGCATAGCTTTCTTCTGCTGATGGCTAAGATCTGAACGATTTGTTTTTTTGAAAGTTCAAATATTGTTCATTGTTTTTAATACTTATTTTAATTCGAGTTTGACTACAGTTAAAAACTTGAGCTACTTTGTTTTGGGAGCACCCAGACATATTTTCAAAAAATGCAGCAATCATTGGAATATTTTCTTTAGTAGCTACCTTAGCGATTCGACCACTTCCAACACTTCCAACTTTTCTTTTTAGAGATCCATTCTCCAATTTTACAATTTTATCGTATGCAGTTGATCTAGGTAAACCCCATTCCATAAACTGCTTAGCAACAAACGCTTTACTTTTTTCTCGATTTTTTTGAAAAACAAATTCCATCATTTTTTCAAGCTCCTTTACTTTGACCATTTTATTTTCAATATTCAAATAATATTTTTAACTTAATAAAATTAAATTTAAATAGATTATAAAATCCTATTTCAAATAAGTATAAAGGTTTTTTGCGTGCATGAAACAAATTACATAATAAATGCAATTAAAATTTGTCTGAAATTTTATTTATAGGGTGTTGCATACACACATTTATACATATATGCACACATATTTTGGTAGTTAAATTTGTAGTTGCTTTGATTAACTAGTGTAAAAGTTATGATTCCTATCTCTTGTAAGTCGCAATGTTCTTTGGGTAAAACTATTTTTGTAAGTCGCAATGTTCTTTGGGTAAAACTATTTTTGTAAGCCGTATTTGCAGTAGCTATCTTGAATCCGAAGTTGATATTTTATCTCGTTGTTATTTTAGATTTATTTTTTGTCGTTATGTTTTGCGGATGATTTAGGTTTCACAGATTACGTTTTAGGATTTTTATACTAATATTGTCAATGTATGTATCGGTGTTTTCAATGTTATATTTTGTTCTGGCAATTTCTGGACTAATATCTATAAATTTTAGCGTTTTTAGATGTAT